CCAAGCTAGTGAATGCAACGCGAGTGATATTGGACAAGGAAGAGTTGGTTCTGCACGCTTCCCTCGGGATAGCCAGAAGATACAGAGGCCAAATCGGTCTTGAATTGCAACTGATGGACGTCCCGACTCGTAAGACGTTTTTTGTGGAATTCGGTTTGAAGATCAAAGAAGCATTGATGAGAATACCGGAAGAACATATGAAGTCATATATGAGGTAGTTTAGAGAAACGTGCTGGTGCCATCCTGCGTTTTTTTAAATTGGATATAAATTTCTTGAATGTGGAAATGTTCTCACGACATTGGATTGTTTGTAAGGAAAATATAGGAATTTGTTGATCGCGACGTGCTAGGAAGATTGCTTCGCTGGAAACTCCTTGACCAACATATTTTTTTACTGTTTCATAGTCAAACTCTGCAGATGTCACTGCTGTGTTATTTCGTGCTTTTTTTGGATTCGTATCTGTATATTCCTTGCGTGTTGTGCTTGTTGGTCCGAATAACCCAAAGAACCAGCCGTATTTAATGTCATCGGCTAATGTCCATCAAAGCAAATTCTCCATTAAATGTGTTCTTTCTGGATATAATTGTTGTAAAATATTACATTCTGGAAAGTCTTTCTATACCCATAGACTAAAAGGCGCATGAAACTTTGTGCACTCACTACAAAAGACTAGTGCCTGTTCCAAACTCTTATGTGAAACCATGAAGTTATGTTCACATATCCAATATCTTATTGCTTTCTGGGGGTTAAGCATATTTTTTTTAGAAGCTTTTGAGTCATGACTGACACGTCTCCGCTCTGAGACACGTGTTATTTGCTCCATATGTTTGGACTACGTCTGGACTCCTTTGGAATGAGTGATTTAGTTTTGAGTCCTTCCCAGGTAGGGCAGTGCTTGAAAATACTGCACGCATGCTTTCGCATGATCCGTACGAACTCAACCAAATGTATTACGTAATGGCGCCCGAGCTGTAGGAGTTGCTTTCATAATGATGATGAAATCACCGTAAAAGATGATGCGCATATCCTAAATAAGGAAATAAAAGGGTCGCGCGGGAAAGTCGCGGGGGTGTTTGTGTCAAGTGAGTGAGTCGGACAAGGAGTCGAATTGAGGGATAGTGGGGAGAAGCCATAGAGAAGACGCCGGATATTGCGGAACCCGTGGCGTTAGTGCTGGAGATCGTATGCTGTCTGTTGCCCCACCCGTCCCACTCTGGTTCATACTCAGGAATTGCTCGTTGAGCATCTGCTGCCTGATAACCATTTAAGGGAACTGAATTTTTATTTTTAGCCCATATCCATTCTCTGGTAGTTCTTGTTATTGACCTCTTTGCAAGCTGGTCGTCACAATAAAGTAATTGCGTATTTAAAGAGTCAACGGAGTCGTAATAAACCTCGAACAGGCTCGCGATCCCTTAATGATAATCATTCACGTTAAATCTCGTCGGAGCTGCCTACAGAGCAATTCAGAATCCAAAAAATTGTCTGCAATTCCAACCTATATGCCGGTCCTGGAGCTTCTTTATTATGGTCAGTTCTAAGTCAATGTATATGTCCTTGAGAATGATTCGCAGATGTTCAATCAGGATTAGTAAGCAGTCCTAACTGAAGGAAAGAATATAGTCATACAAACCTATGTATGCCTGACAGAAAAAAATGGTAATATGTCGAGTAAAACTACCCCGACTCATGAAATCTACGAATGCTTTTGCTTTCCCATCTTTAATTGAACAATTTTTTTTGTGATGGGTGAACTGAGAGGCTATTTCAGCGGCAAATTATTGGTCATTTTTAAGTGAAAAATTAAAGCTGAAAGGATGGTTCAACAGTTCTGACAGTGTGGATATGGAAAAAGATTAGCAGTTCTTGTCTGCAATTTGTCGACTTGGAAGAATAGATGTAGTATAAGCCCATAGCTAATGTAAGAAGAAACCTAAGATACTATATATCCTTGAAAACTGAACTCAGGCACAGATGAACTCTGAGATTTTACCGCCTTTCTCGAATTGTAATTCTCAAATTGCAAATGAATGAATTTCCAGAGAGCTCGAAATATGAGAATGAAAAGAACTAAATAATACTGTTATGGGAGGCGGAGCTTTCCCGTTTCTTTTATTTCGTGTTCTCGTATACGGTACTCGAGACACCGTGGATCCGGGTGGAGGGGCTTAGAAAAGTACACGTACGTCAACAGTAACAAACATATTTTATTTCACTCCCTTTAGACGTCTCACACACATAAAGAGAAGTCAGTCGTTGGGTTTTGGTCTTCCTCGACGACGAGTTCAGGGCCGCTGTCGGAGCTCGAGGACGAGGTCTCCGACAGATGTCGGTGTCGCTTCCTATAGGGGAGGTCGCTCGTCGTTGTCTCCCTCAGGGTCTCGGAGGTCACTGATCCTACGAGGGGGGAAGGGAAAAGGGATGACGCTTTCTAATTCTCTGAGATTGCTGGGGATTAAGTCCGCTGGTCAGCTCGGGATTTAGGAGGCGGGTAAGGGCTCTCAGCCGATTGTCGCAAAGGACGGGATCGAGATCGTCGATACGGCCTCTCGCCCTTCGACCTTCGGAGATCGACCACGCTCAGGACGTCCATCTACAGTCGATGACGAAGCCCTGCGGAACTCCCTCGACGCGAAGCCGAACGCCACCATTCGCGAATCTGCGACTACACTTGGAGTCACCCATATGGCCATCGGCAACCAAACGCGACAAAGTTCTCCTTCTGCATGACAACGCTCGTCCACGTGTTGCGAAGATGACTCGCCAGACGATTTCGGAACCGGGCTGGGAAGTTTTACCCCATCCAGCGTATTCTCCGGACTTGGCCCCTTCCGACTATCACTTGTTCCGGGCCCTCGAGAATCACCTGCGGGACAAGGCACAAGACGATCGCGCACAGCTCGAAAATGATGTCGGCCGTTTCTTCACTTCGCAATCGCCAGAGTTCTGGGCAAAGGGCATCGAGCAGTTACCCGTGCGTTGGGAATATGTCATAGACAACAATGGTCATTACATTCTCATATACTCAAATTGCATTTCAATAAAGTTATAACATTTTGAATAATTTGCGCAGAGTGTTGCAAGACTTTCTTTCCAACCCAATAGTAAGACTGCGATTAGGTCGATAGGGAGTTTGTTCCGTGCCGTTTCTCTCGGTCGTTTTTGGTATGCCGGGTATCGATTGGCGTCGGTTGCTTCGTTTTGGTCGTTAGGGACTGCCGGGATCGTCGTGGGTCGTTGATCCGGTAGTTGTTCTTTCGCTTGCTAGCGGCCTGCGAGGTCACTCCTCTTCCCGGTGCCTAATTCACTGGTGTCCCTCATCTGTCCCCTACTGATCATATTTAATCGCTCATTTTTTTAAATCAACTTACAGCAGTTCCGTATCTCTTTCGTTCCATTTAATGTTTGTCCGACTGGTACCATAGATCTATCTATACAGTAACTTATCTGTGACAACTTACATAAATTAGGCATATACACCGAAATGCTTCTGCGCCATCTCTGGGCGGTCTTGACTTGACCTTATCTTACTGCTCCCGTGATGATACTCACCATAAATGTAGGACAGTCTGTAGAACAGCCTAATGCATGATATCCCCCAAAATTGATATTTTGCAAACCATACACATCTACTGAGCACAACGATGCTGGTATTTGAAGTCCATATATTGATACCTTCAGCGATACCCACGAGTCCCAGGAAAAAAAGGGGAGAGAGGATGCTAGAAAGCGGGGATGCTGCGAGACATATATACAAATGAAATGAAAAATGAGTGAAAAGTCTTTTTTCCGTGATGTTCTTTTCTGAAGATCATTTTTCCAATAAATTAGTCTCAAATACAAGTAGTTACAAATTGAAGTTGCTCATCAGATAGTTCTCAATATTAGGAAATAAAGATTAGGAGAAAGTGTGAAAAAAACTTCTGAGATTCGTCGCATGATAATAGAGAGGAATGTGTGAGGGAAAGAGCGCTGACAGTTTTTTCGCTCAAAAATCCTTATTTTTCGAGAACGTGGAGAGCATCTCTAGGTGCGGAGGGAGGTTTAAATATTCGGTAATGACTGGAGGAAATTATTTTTCAACCATGATTCTTATTTAGAATAGAAGTTGAGGTATTGAGGACTTTTTTGGAAGCATTCCATCTTTCCATGACTTTATTTCTACACATTTTAAAACCAGAGTCTACGAAGATCAGCTGAACGAGACATGCAAGATTCGAATTAAAACGAAATCGTGTCATTCACATGGCTCCATGTTTTTTTCTGCGTGAGGGATTTTTATCGATTATTTTTCGTAATGGATCAAAACTATTGAATCATGACATAATTCAAACACTTGTATTCCGAGGTTGTTGTAACAGTATCGACATTATACTAGGAATGTCATTACGTTCACGATCTAATGGGATTTATCGAACACGAAATTTGAAATGAGATTTGAGATCAAGGATAAATTTCACGACCATACCACTTACCCATGAAAATACGCTGCAACTTTGCCGCAAGCGATCCATCTTCCACTGTGCTAATTTCATTGTAAGAAACCTCCAGATGCTCGAGATCAAGACCCCGAAATGGAGACAGAGTGGTAAAAGAACTTCCGACGAGGTCGAGATAGACGAGATGATGGAACTGCTCGAGGGCGTGGAAAGGAAATTCCTCCAGACCTGTTGCGATCTGCAGATCTCGAACTTGATCTTTCGACGAGAGTAGTACCGATTGATGGGAGTGCCTAGGATCATATCGACAAGGTCTATAATAAGGTCTATATAAGGACGCCATCATCAGCGGGATGTCCGTGCTCGGTACGTCCATATCCCACCACATCGATCGACCACTGCTAGACGATGTTTCATTATCGCCTCATTCCATGAAATCAGCGAACAGTGTGCCATACATTACGGAACAGAATCCTAATCACGGACCGTGATTAGGGTTCTCTTCTGATTATGATTTATGACTACTTGCGCTTTCGTTTCCGAAACGAAAGCACAAGTAGTCATACATCCGAAACAGCACCAGCCAGAAGTCCAGCAACCGTGGGGGACGAGTCTGGATGTCCAGCCAAAAGCTTAAAGAAACAACGAAGAAAAGTAATTTCATTTTTCTATACGAAATAGTGCTCTGCCAGTAAAAAATCTGCACGTATCTTGCTCTGCAAACTCCTCCTCCGAATGGCTTAAACGTGAGTCTACCCGGTGGGAGAGAAAAAGAACTTCAATAACGAAATGAACGAATGAAATAACGAATGTATTTAAAAAATGTATGTGTTCTTTTCAAACGAAAGGAGATGGAGTTTTTAAGGAGAAAGGGCCGAAAAAATGTAAAGGGAGCGAAATCACTTGTTGAGGCAAGAGTTTCAGTCTCGTGCTGCCCAGGAAGCAATTTAATCAAGGTCATGCGAATATTTACAAAAGACCGATTTGCTATGGCTGGAGAAATGTATCTCATCCTAATCGATAAACATCATAGCTTGCTTTTCCGAATTAGAAGAGTGTCTGAGGTCCAAAGGATTACATTTTGTTATATTAGTGCTGCACGGCATTTTCAAATCGGTATTGAATTCGCGTATATACTTTCGGTACTTTCAGGTGGATAAAAACATTATTATATCATCATTGGATTTCATGCTTGTATTCAACGCAACATGCATCCCAAATGGAAGGACATGTGTCGGGGCGAAAACTAGCCGCTGCTCTGCATACGTCTTGCACGTTTTATTTGGGCTTCTGCTGGTGACTCGTTGGTTCGGATGGGCAGTGATGCAGAAGGAGGAATTGTCCGCTACTGAAGGATCCTTCATGATGCATTCTTGGAAGTCCTCTGGGTCTAATTCGTCAAACGATGTTCCATCTGGGCACACACCCCTAACGCTTCCTCGGAAGTCCGAATTGAGTACTAGCCATGCAATGCTACAGTCACACATGATTTCATTATCTGGAACACAAAGAAAGGATATGGATCTGATGTTGAACGCTGTATCTCAGGTAATAGCGATGAAGATCCAGGCCACTTACATCTCACATCCAAGTACCCATCTCCACCATGAGACGGAAGAGAGAGGACCTCCACCATGCGACGGAAGGACGTTTCCGGTAATGAGTCAAATTTGTTATCTGTTAGATGTATTTTCGTGTTGGCTGTGAATCCTGCAATGAATAAGCGAATGGCTATATTCCCTTTCAGGCTAAAGTTTACACTGAAATGTCCTGAATTACTTGTTTTCACGAATCAGAAGAAGGTCACTTTTCTCAGACTGAACTGGGACCATACCTGCAATAGCGCGTGATTCCATCCTCGAGATCCCGTCGGAGGAAAATTGCAACTCTACCAATGCTGGACTGTAGAATTCGAAGGAGCCGTTCTGCAGAGTTGGACCTAATCCGCACGTATTACATTGAAATATTCTCAAGTTCCGCATGTCCCTGAAGAATCCACGCTGGATCTCCGAAATGACCCCGACTGAGATCCCGGCTGCTCGAAATGGAGAAGGAGAATGTCTGAGAAAATGGTATGTTTCCTGAGTGGAAAGTAATATTCTCCGGCTCGGAAATGTGGATATTTAGAACATAATTTGTCTTAACAACACCGACGATCATAAGATCTCCATTCGACTCAGCCAGTTGTACTTCTGAGTCATTCCATGTCAAGCGGTCCAAAAGCGGTTGCTGCACCGACCGGGATTTTGTCAGAAATCATGTATACGGGGGGTTATGAGAAACGGATGAATCCGAAATTTCAGCAGTGTAAGTCAGAAGAAATTTGAGATATGCCCCTGATAGTTTGAGAGGGAATAGTAAAATGACCCCTCAAACAAATGCAATATCTCCCGAACTATGCAAGCTACAAAGCCGATTGAAAGCTGATTTTAAAGCTAATAGCCAAGCATCTACGTCTTTTTCTATGAGGTTTTCTATGCTTTTATTTCAAAATTAAAAATGTATTTAATTTAATGAAATAATCTACTTTTCACCCTCAAAGAAACACAGTGAAAATGCTAGTAACGGTACCAGCTATGGAGTACCTGTCCTGTTCTAAAAAGGTAGTCTGATTATGTATGAAGTTCTCAAGTCGCTTCAAAATTTTGTCGTGCGTAGTTGAAGTTGCTAATTTAGCCATATATGGTCATATTTGGCCGTCATTAACTTTCCTTTGCTTTTAAGTACAGGTATGCTTATTCCATAGAATGATGGACCTCCCTAAGCTATAATAAGCCAAATAAGTATGGTCGTGCTATTCAGAAATCCTGAAGGATGGGAATTTCCTTTCAAGGCAATCTTGAGCGAGATTGACCTTCAAACACTTAACTCCATCTCGATCATGTACGGGAAGGAAAACGTATACTTGATTTTGTGTGTTTGATACGGTTTGGGATAAACATGCGCGCAATTAGAGAAAACCTTGCACTATTTAATATTTAATTGAAATGTAATGTATTGGAAGAATTAAAATTCTAAATTATCAATCAGCTCCTTATATATGCTATGAAGAAAACCTCCATTATCTTCTGCCCGGTTAATTAACAATATAGTAGCAGTGTGGATGCCTTTATCGTGGCAAGTGTGTCCCAGCTCACATAAGTAATACTGTACTTGCAAGTCTGTTTGCCCTTCGGGCAAACAAACTTGTTATGGTAGCGCCTTCGGCGCTCCGCTACCTAGGATAGTCATTAATTCATTTTTTGCGAAATGGGAAACACGTACTTGAAGTACATCCCCATTGAAATACGTGACATATGGGGTTGAAAGTCTTGAATTTTATCAAAATCATTACTTCTTCGATTCCATGTGTGCCTAACAATAAATATTTTGATTGTGTCCCTTTTAGTAAGGGTGGAGAATACATTTTGAAATACTTCCCTTATATAATCTACGATAAGTAGACATATTTCAAAAGTAGGATTTTTCCTGTTATCAGCCATCAAAAAGTTACTTCTGAAGGAAGTTTAAATTTTCTGTCTCTGTTTCGTTGGAGCAAAAAAGAAAAATCAGTTAAATGGGACTTCATGCGCCCTGATGGATTTTAACGAAAAATTTTCCCCTCTGAATTGTAGACTCAGGGAACTCCATGCCACCCAGTTTCATCCTTTTACGTTTCTCCTTATTGCAGGCAGAAAAAAAATTATTTGGAAAAGCTGTGCTCTGAGAAGGCGAAAAAGAAATTAAAATATTTCCTTAAATAAACATCACGTCCGTTATGCGTGCGCCAGCTACTTTTTTTTATTTCTGCCCGAATCGGTAGGATATGAACAATTATTTAAGAACGTTACTCCCTCAATAAATATGAACCCCAAAAACTATTTTGGAAATTGGACGTTTGACATTTGAGCTCAGTTCGTCAACTGTCACTTTCTTTCCAAGTTTCAGCTTTCCATTTGTCTCCGTTTGAAGCTAAGAGAACTATTTGAAAATATGTTCCCCGAAAGGTGTGCCCCTGTGTCATGCATCACCAAAGTAGAACTCTTCCTGAACTCAGCATGCGAATAGCTACTTATGTCAGTCAGTCAGCTACTCACGATCGTCCATATATAATACAATTAGAATTTATCTTTACGCAGCTATCCATCAGGAACTTATTTGGCAAGTTTTTTTTAACTTTCTTGCGCCCTTTGTTTTGCTGGATCAGAAAATTCGGGAATATATGCCTTTTGCCAAATATGTGCCCTGAGTTGTTTTAACCGAAAAGTACCATTTTTTTATTACCAAATTAATCCTCAGCGAACTACATGCCCACAACATTTCAATAATATACGATTGCCCTTTTCGCTGGTGAAAAGAACATGTTTAGAATAGCTGAACCACCCAAAAGCTATGCCTGGAGGTGATGAACCATGAAAGCTGAATCCCTCAGCTCAGTAATATCATGTCACTTATACGTGTGCCAAGTTTCACCTTTCCGTTTCTGTCCAATTCGCCAGGAAATTTTTTTTTTCAAAACACCGCACCTCTATAAAATTCCCCCAGGAGATGTATCGAGACAACATTTTTTTATTGAACTCCTGGTCTCAGTAGTAACATTCATGCAATGTTCACGCTTTCCGTGTTCATCCGTTTAACTGATGCAAATTATATAAAAACTTCTCACTTTGAAATTTGTGCTCACAGTGCATCTACTTCCAAAGTCTCAAGTTTTCTGCAGTATCCCAATAGGTAGTTTTGTACCAAGTTTCATCTTTCCATGTCTCTCCGTTTTATTAAAGGAAAATTAATGTTATAGAGGGGGAATGAGTAACGGGACGTGTAAGGAAAAAAAAGCCAAATGGAGGCCAAAGAATAGTCGGGAATTGAACCCGTACCTCCTGATTGCCAGTCAGATATGCTGGTACTACACCATCGAACCCAGGACATCCAGTAAAATATCTGAATGCCATCCTCATATGTTACAAAATATATATTTTTAAACGCTTTCCCCCAAAATTTGTCCGTATGTGAAGCTTTTATGATAGTCATTGTATATATACTATTGATGAAATTATATGGAGTGCAATTCGAAAAGCTGAAGAAGTTAAGAACAGATTTTAGACCTATGACCCATATCATCTTAAATGAATAAAAATCACTGAGAAGGGGAAGAAAAAAGTTGAAAAGTGTGCAGGGCCAGAGCATTGCTTCTACAGTCCATCCTACCCTAAAGTCTCTCCTTTATATGTCTGCTTCATACAGTACATACATCTTATTTCTTACGTTTACTTCACGCTTAAGCGCTCTCATACGCACTGAACAGGAAATACAATTATATGTGTTCGCAAGGAGTTGCAAATTCTTCATTATGGAAAATTAGGAGGAGATAGACAATTTGAAGAATAAAAGTATTCCTTCAATCAAGAAAGCGAATAAGTAGTTTTGGGGCATGACTTTCACCGGCCTAAAAATAACATTGCGCGCAACTGAAAACCCTTTCAACAATATTAATTATAATATTACCATCCATTTTTGAACAACGCAAAGTAGGCAAAGGTAGCAAATAGGCGACCGAAAGGTTCAATTTCTCTCTCGTTTTCCTCCGAGAAGAGAGAAGTGCGAAGAAAAGTACAATAATTTCGTTTTCCATTAATTTAGAATAAAATCAATGAAAAATGAGGAAGCAGAGAGGAAAACTGGAATTAGCACTCTCCTTTTCTTAGAGCATACAACGCCTGCCGTCGGAGTTGAAATTCTTTCATCACTCATGCCATGAATGTGTTAGTTAAGTTTTGTCTTGTGGGACGGGCGATGAGAAACCTGGATTTTCAGTGAAGAGAATCTAAGAATGAATGGCGCATATGGTAAGTAGAACAGGAAATTTTTCCTGCGGTAACGTTTATGGGATTGGCGTACTTAATAATATCGAATAGTATCCCAAGTCCATTGCTCCGCCGCTTGGATAATGTTATTCTACTTTTCCCAGTCGTGTGCTTCGAAGAAGAAATAGGGAAATAAAATGTTCAACAGACACAATCGGACGCTGAGCGATGCATAGTGGAACTCACAAATGATTAAAATCGCCAGGTTTGGCGCTGATGACCCAGTTTCAAGTATTGTAAGGTTATTAATCCCAAGGGAGAGTAATTCGAGGCTGGAGCTTTGAAATGGTGGCAATTTGGTCATTAAAATGTCATCCAGCACGATCAGACGGAGACGGGTGAAACGGTGGAGGGCGTCCCAAGGGAACTCCGTAAGGTCGCTTTGCTCCACGTGCACTTGCAAGAGTCGATCTGAGGATGGAAGTAGGGCTGAAGAATGGATGATGCCGATGGCGGAATTACGAATATCCAGGTACTCGAAGGAGATATCACCAAGCATTCCTTCGGACATCTCTTCAACCACGCGATTGTCACGAATTTGAAATGTCCTGGAAGAAGCACAAAGAAAAATGAAACCTGCTGTTGATGCATTTAGTTCCATGAGTCTTGATAATTCTAAGGGGTTCTCCGAAGGTTTATGAAGAGGTAACGCAGCAGCGCATGCACTTGCAAAAAATTTCCTGAAGGAACACTCGAAAGCACAACGCAAAATGGACATGGACTCGATTCTACTATTGCAATTTGTTCTAAGGTATTTCCTGATCTTCGCTCAGGTGTTCCTGGAAAAGGAAAGTTTAAGCCGCAATTTCGTTTTCTCTGATAACATACTAGGGAAACGGTTCATACATGGTACTACTCCAAGCAAAAGGTTTACCAAAACTAAAGTTATTTCAAATGAATATGCTGGATGTGATTTATTGAAAATATGAGAAGCATCACATTAATGAGCCATCATCGGAAAATAATTTAAGTAACGCCTTCATTGAACTCTATTTGATAAGTTTGTCAACTCAGAGTTTGGAAATGCATCCTTAAGAGGAAATTTATATTCTAAGAGTTACTAAAAATGGAGGAAAACATTGGGTACGTCCCTGTCGAAATACGAGAGTTGAGGACGAAATCAAGATCATTATTGAAATCATTTCTCCAATAATTTTGTGTGCTCCTAAATTGAAATGTGTTTTGTGCTCCCATTTGGCAAAGGGAACATAAAAAATACTTCATTCCCATAAACCTCCTGCAGAGAACATATATCGAAAGTAGGATAATTTGTTTACTCAGCAATCCGCTAAATAAGTCTACTCCAAGTTTAAAATTTCTATCGCTCTTCATTTCATAGTGCCAAAAAAATGCACCCCTTGTAAAATAGGTGCCCCATGGTGTTTTACCTAAAAAGTTAAACGCTTACTGAAATCTGGGAGATCTACATTCCCACCAAGTTTCAGCGTCATACATTTTCTCTTTCTGCTGGTGCAAAAAAATAATTGAAAGAGTCGAGTCACCTAAGAGCGATGCCCTGAGGTTATGCACCACAAAAGCTCAATTTCTCATAAACGTAACGTCACGTCAATTATGCGTGTGCCTAGTAGCGCTTTTCTGTTTCTGTGCAATTAAACTTCAATCAAATTCGACTCTGCACATATTTCTGACACGGTGAAAGCAAATTGCATTGAAAAAATCGCAGTTGTGTGCATTGATTTTCCGATACCAAAACCTAAAATCGGCAATTCTAGCTGGAAATGTCAAGCCACAGATATGATAACCTTGAAATAAATATCTGCATCATTTGTTGACAGTACCATCTGACTCACGTTAGATTAGAGACAGGCCAGAATGCGTCATTGAAAATGGAATATATCTCGTCACTTGAAGTTGCATCTGAGCAATCCACGATGATAGGATTTCCTGGAACAAAGGGTTCCCGAATACATGTGCAAGGAAAAATTTCACCAGGATCGGGACAAGGGTATTGCCCAGATATCCCCGCGATGAAACCAAGGACGAAGAAGAAATGGAAGGGTGACGTGCTCCACTCCATAAACGAGATGAACGGTTGCATGATGATGGTCGGAGGCAGAAGACTGGAATGGATTTGGATGGAACACCAAGGTCCAGTTTATATCGTCATGTAATCTATCTTCTTATCCCGGATGTGAACCTTCACACCTGCTTTTTTTAACTTTTAAAATTAATGCGAGTATGGATCTGTAAAAAAAAGCGAAAAATATCCTGTGAGTGAACAGAAGACGAACTGCGAATGATCGAGCTCGTCAAAGAATAGTTATGTACAAATAAAAGGTATTTTAGCTAAAGTTCTTAACTTTTTGACATAAATGACGGGTAAAACCCTCTTGACGTACAGTGTATTTCCTAATGATACACAGGTATTTGGATCGCATTGATAATGAAGATGGGGATATTACTATTGCATCTGAAACATCTGAAGAAGATGGATGTGACCGTTCTAGAGAAATGAGTAGTCATGGCACTAGCTCTGGAAACAAAGTTGCAGATTGGACCAAACAAGTGACAACAGTGGTAAGTGGGATTGGGATACCGGAGTTAGTACCGGAGTTCTCTTTTTCTCCCTGTCACATTTCCATGTCTTTTTCTATAGGGGACAGTTTCATTTCCGGTTCAGAGTTGGCTCTCTCTGATGCATACTCGGGCTCGGATCGCACAAATTTATTACACATTCCGGTTAATGATGCCAGTTCATTGGCTCCTCTCTTTGTCAATCTCTCTTTGATGGAGAACCTAGGGAAGCACTATAGGGAACCCTCCAGCCACGAATCTCCACACCAGGGAAAACCTCTTGCTGCCCATTAGTAGTCCTGCAGATAGTGACTTGGGCATCATGTCCACATTCAACAGAATGCTCTCGACTTGGTTCCTCCGGGAATCAAAGGTATGAACCTAGTCCAGCTAATGCACTGTGCAGGAACGGTGCTTTCTCTAGCGTCTGTTGCGGCAGCCGCTGTCATTTTTCTAAGTGACTATTCCCTGGTATAGAGATGTCGAATATGGTTTTGCTACACTGCAATTTGTTTGGCAGGATGGTGCTCCAAACGATACTCCTAAAAAGTAAGGAGGCATTGATGCCTTGCTTCCTAGTTATTGAGAGATATATTGCTCTATGAGTGGGCCTATTTGTGTTTCATTGTTGGAAGAACAAAATAAATCCCTAGGTCTTCTAGGAAAAGTTTGGCTTTATTCCAATATAGCCACTTCTCCATTTTTGAAGCTTTCCCATCCGATGTCCAAGCCAAAAATCTCATTAAAACGCACGAATAATTCAAAGCATTGTGTTCTGTAGTGAATATTCGAAATGGAAAGGGCATCTTTCATGTTGCAATCACATCGGAATCCGTACATGCATATCATAGCAACGCGGGATCCGTCTCAATACAGCCTTGAAAATCGTTTGGATCCAGGTCTTCTAAAAGAGATCCATCAGTACATGGCCCCCTAACGTTTCCCAGGAAGTCTGGGTTGAGTACGATCCAGGCTAGGCTGCAGTCGTAGACGATGGGGTTCTCTGGTACGCGAATGAAACGGAAGTACAACAGATTAGGGAGATTGGATTGAACATAAATGTAGATCATAAAATACAAGAGTTTTCGGTCACGTGACTCACCGATGAAGTTGAGGTGGCCGATTCCGGACCTTCCGGAGAGGACCTCCAGAATGGGACGGAAGGATTCTGTCACTTCGGTGATGTTGGTTTTGGAAATGGCTATTATTGTGTCGGGTGGTCAAACTTGGAATGAATAGAGGAAATGTTTCACAATCCCTTCGATTTGAAAAAATCTAACACTCCATTGCGTGAAGCAAGCAAGTATGAAAAATAGGGCGAATGGGACTCAAGCCCGATGAAAGAGGCAACATCAAGCGTGTGTCGTTCCTGTTATTGCGTGCGATTCCAGCCTTGAGATGTTTTTGTATCCAAAATGCATGTACCTTAGAGCCTCACTGTGGAACTCGAATGTCCCGTTCAACAAAGTCGGTCCTAGGCCACAGACATTGCAGGTGAAGCCCGTCAAGTTGTCCATGCCATAAAAGAATCCGTCTCGGATTTCCGTGATGGGACTATGGGCTACACGAGGTGGAACAAGGTCAGTTTAGGAACCCGAATTCAAAATGGGCAGGAAAATGTATTGACAAGTCCCCGATACAGAGAATGGACATGATCTATTTTCGTTTCTTTTCAGTCCGTTTCTTTGGTGACTCCAAAATATTAATACATAGACCACTCTGTCTCTCTTGTCTTTCATAGATACCTCGTAATCCTTACTGAGAGGAGGATTGCATTATACTAACACATGACAATATTTTTAGCCAGAGCAACAGAGATCAGGTTCATTGAGAATTGGGCAACGGTATTTTTAATGGCAATTCCGTTAAGATGTGCATCTGCATGTTCTAATCGAGGAGCCATGAATTCCTTTTTCTTGAATTTCTTCCAGGGAGAGAGGGAATAGTGAATTTACCAGCATATGTATACTTTTTTGTGCAGACAGCATTCGATTGCAACATTAGGAATCTTATTTTCAGTGACATCATTATGTTCTTTTCATTTGCGAGTAATTATGGGACGACCAGAATAGCTGCACACTCTCGGTACCTTAATATATGTCCCTGCTTCCTCGTGACCGTCCTTGCAAGAACCTGGACGCGATCAAGGCACCGTCCTTCCCAAACACTAGCCATTTCCGTAATGACTCGTCGTTGGTATAAGAATATGAGCTTTCCTTGGATTCCATATGTTTATTCCATGCATATTTTTACCTGAACTCTCACATTATTCATGACCTCCAGCTGGGGGCTCGTATGGCAAGATGCTCCCTTCTCTTGGATTGACATTTAGAATTCAGGAACCCATCTCGTGTGACTAGAACCTGTTCTGCAACGCGTACAAGAAAGTGTTTTTCTCCTTCGAGCGATCACAATTTAAGATGAAAGAAAAACTGCAAGATACGAAAGGGCCAGGTCATTCAACTCGCTGGTACTCACACAAGTCGAGATACTTCAAATTCGGCGCAGAAGATCCAGTCTCCAATGTAGATATTTGATTTCTGGAGAGGGAGAGAGAGTACACGCTGCGGCTTCGGATGGGCGGCAGAGTGATCAAGTTATTACCACGTAAATCCACCTGGAAGAGTTCCGTGAATTGGTCGAGGGTCTCCCAGGGGAACTCTCTCAGGGCGCCCTGTTCTATCGTCAGCACTCGAAGTCGATTCCATGAGGGCAGTAAGGCCGAGGGGTGGACGCTTCTCAGAGCAGTCAAACGAATTTACACGGTATCGAATGTGATGTTACCGAAGGCCCTTTCAGGTAGCTCCTCGACCGCATTATTGTCCACCATATAGAACGTCCTGAAAATTAAATGAAACCAAATGCTCTTGAATTGTAGAAATAAAATCGATAAGGGAAAATTTTCTAGCAGTGTTAGACGCATCATAGTGCACCGCAGTTTCGAAAATAATCACATTTTGGTTACTGTAGGAGAGGTAAGAAGATCACCATATAGAATCATGTACGTGGAAAGATTTTTAAAACATTGGTTTTTCGTTATGAAGGAAGGAAGGTTTCTCCAATTCCAAGGATGCAAAGAAAAAATGCTACTAAATTAGCGCTTCACTGACGCTTAGGCAACCAGCAGTATATCCTGCCAATAGAGCCCCATCGGTACGATCGCTAGGTGTGGAAACTGCACACAGGTATTTGGATCGCATTGATAATGAAGATGGGGATATTACTATTGCATCTGAAACATCTGAAGAAGATGGATGTGACCGTTCTAGAGAAATGAGTAGTCATGGCACTAGCTCTGGAAACAAAGGTGCAGATTGGACCAAACAAGTGACAACAGTGGTAAGTGGGATTGGGATACCGGAGTTATTACCGGAGTTCTCCTTTTCTCCCTGTCACATTTCCATGTCTTTTTCTATAGGGGACAGTTTCATTTCCGGTTCAGAGTTGGCTCTCTCTGATGCATACTCGGGCTCGGATCGCACAAAATTTATTACATATTCCGGTTAATGATACCAGTTCATTGGCACCTCTCTTTGTCAATCTCTCTATGATGGAGAACCTAGGGAAGCACTATAGGGAACCCTCCGGCCACGAATCTCCACACCAGGGAAAACCTATTGCTGCCCATTAGTAGTCCTGCAGATAGTGACTTCGGCATCATGTCCACATTCACAGAATGCTCTCGACTT